AGAGAAAGGGAGGGCGGGCCTTCTCCTGGCCAGTGGGCTGGTGGGAGATGGGGGTATGTATGTCCCTAACCTCCTTGCCCAGGTCAGATATCAGGGAAGACTGTGACCCGGGAAGCACCCTTTCCATCTGTATTGAAGTGTCCTTTTTCATCGTCATCCTCCTCCTCCTCCTCCTCCTCTTCCTCTTCCCCTGCTGCCTCCTGTTCCTCCCAGGGCTGCTCCCTGAACACTCACAGACATGCCTGGCTTTCTGGCTCCGTGGGTGTACTATGTGGCCCCAGCCTCTAAAAGGAAGACCCGTGGAGCGAGCAGTAGTGGACACTCATCCCGGAAGGGCATCTTCGTTGGGCTGAGAAGCTGACCAGAGCAGTTTCCCTCAGATCGCAGGGAATCCACAGAGCGTCCTCTAGGCCTCCTCTTGGTTTCTAATCAGTTTAAGTGGTTTTGTTCTAGATTGTTCCTCAGGCTCACCCATCATGTGTGTGTTTGAGGGCTCCCTGTGTCACTGTCTCCTGCTCATGGGAGTCTGAGGAGCACCCTCACTTCTCAGGGTGCAAGATTTGCACTGTGGGGATAGGCTTAGGTGGCCCTTAGGGATGTCAGAAAAGCAGCATTGGCCTCTGGAAATCTGAACAAAAGTAAAGTCTGACCTTGTCGTGGGGCCTCTGTGGAGGATGGAATCCAAGCCCTGTAGTGTCCCAGAAGGTTGTGATCTTGCACACTGGGCCTTAGGTTACCAGGAGCCCCAGCCCCAGCTGGAGGGCTCCTGTGCCAGTGGCCTCGGGCGAGGCAGGCAGAGGATGCCCGTGGCCTCCATTCTTAAAAAGTCCTCACTGTGCGCTGCAGGTCTTTTGTTTACTGTAATTTCTCTTTCCTTTTCTTTCTGCATGTTTAACTGTCAACACCCTGAGAATTACCAGCATTCCCCTCTGCGTAAAAGGTGGTGACCTGAGAGCCAGCCATTTCTATGTCTGCAAGGGACAAACCCGTGGGGCCTCCAAATGAGCCAGTCCCACTCCTTGGTGCCACCCACTGGACCTGACACAGGGCTTTCCTCAGAGACCCCAGAGGCCTTTGGCTCCCTCTGGAAAGGTGGTGGGTTTAATAGGAATCTAAGGGATGGGTGCTCTCGGTGGGTCAGTGTGAACAACGTCCAACAGCCTTACCCCAGCCAGCCAGGGCCTCGTTTTGCTTGGGTCTGAAAGAGATTTTTGTTCTCTGGTGAGAACAGCCCCAGTCTGGCGCCAGAGCCAGCAGCAGGAATACAAACCCTTTCATGTGACAGGCCCAGAGTGGAAAGATACAGCAGCAGGCCCTCCCCTGCACTCCTCGGGAGGTGGGTATTTGCATATTCCCCATTCATCCTGGCCTTGAAAAAGAGGCCCGAATTCTCAATGCTCCCTGCCCAGCTGAGGGCTGGGCTACTGGAGCCTGGCATTAACCCTGAGGACGCCAAGGGCCCCTGCTGGCCGAGAGCAGGACCAGGCAACCAGAGGGCAGTGAGAGACAGTGCCCCTGGCCTCCAGAGGGGTGGTTTGGGAGGTGACCGGGTCCCACTGACAGGCAGAGCCTTCGGCTGAACTGAGTGGAACTCGGATTTGTTACTTTTGTGGCATTCAGAGGAAGAACATTGTCAAAGTATGGGGGAGCCAAGAAGTTAAACTATTTATCAAATTTTCCAGAAAATTTACGTCTAACTGAAGGCAAAACTCTCTCTTCCTTGCTCATTGTCTCTTCTGTGACAAACCCAGCGACCCTTGGAACAGCCCCGACAGAGACTGGGTAGCTCATGGCTGTGGCAGCAGCCCCTTCATCAGGGAGCTGGGGGCGCAGCTTGCCTGGGGGCACTTGTGCATCTTAAAACCCTGGGGGTATTAGGAGCTGTTGGGTTCTGTCAGCTCCTGGCTGTGACACCGAAGGCGAGAGGCCTGTAGACAGTACCACGATGATCTTTTCTCTTCTGCAGCTACTTACTGGCCTCCCAGCCTCGGCTTCCTACCCCTTTCCTCAATGCAACCAGACTCCTGCCTCTTTCCTGGGACCCTCAACATCTTACAGGGTCTCCCTGCAACTTACCAACCCACTTCCGTCCCTCAGTCCACTTCTCAGAACACTCCTTCCCATCTGCTCCTGAGTCCCTCCTTGCTCCCTGTCCCTGACTAAGGATGTGTCCCAGGTTCCTCTTTTGTGCATTTTTTCCTGAGCTGGGTGCCAGTGAGAGAATCCCCCCACCTCAGTGACCACAACTATGTCTTAGCAGGACCCTCCTGGAGAAGGTCGCATCCCGTGCCATGGCCACCACAGTGAGCTCTGAGACCCTGGCCCTGCCAGGAGCAGCCTTTGGTCCCTTGAGCTGGAACCTGCTAGGTTCACAGTATGTCCTCAGTTTGGGCAGGTGATGGAAACGGATCACGGATCCTGAGGCTAGGAAATGGGCAGTCCTAACCCGGACTGGCTGGGAAGGGAAAGGATCATGTTGCGGTGACAGGATTTGGCTTCCTGCACAGTTGGGTCTGGCTAGGGGGTGTCCCTCTGTTCTTGTGGTGCTCATGGCCCTCAGTGGCATCCCTGAATTCTGCCTGCTATCCTGGGGGGCTTGGTGTGTAAGGGAGGACAGTGAGGCTCAGGCTCACCCACTCCATCGGCCCCAGTTATTGTGCTCTGCAAATATCGCCAAAGAGCCTACTGCCAGTTTGAGCCTCTGATGCCCCTCTTTGCTCGGAATTTTTAGTTGGGCCCGATTCGTGGTGAGGACAACATTTATCTCCCAGCTTGTGAAAGACACTCTGTTTCTCTTTGCTCCTCTGTCCTCAAGGTTCTTTGTATTTTTTAAGTTCCTGAAAGTGTCGTTTGAGCCTGGCTTCCCAGTGTTATCGTCAGGAATGTGGGCCCATGTTCCCTGACCCGGGCTTTGGGTGAGTGGGATTCTTTAGAGGTGCTGGCGTGGTGAGAGGAGGGTGTGGGGAGAGGAGGGCAGTGAAGGCAGCTTCCTGGATGCTAAATGAATTGCTAAAGGGAGACATGATCAAGGTGAGTCCGGGCCTGTTGGCAGGGGTGGCCGGCCCCATGCTGTGCTCAGGCCCAGCCTGCCAGAGGTGGGCTTTCCCACACTGAAGAGGCTTAACTGAACCTTCAGAGCTAGCATCAGGCTTCTTGGGGAAGCTCGACAGGTGAGTCACTGTAACCCAGCAACCTGCGTCCCAGCCTCTCGGGGATGTGCGGCAGCTCTCACCTGGCAGGTCCCCAATCGGGGAGGCCCTGGGCCCCATCTCTGCCCCAATTGTCTGTGGTTCTGTGACTAATTAAAACCCAAGAGGAAAATGGAAATAAAGCCTCTCGTGCATGATAGAGCCAAGCATGAATATCTGTGAGCACAGGGTGGAGAGTGGGCCCAGGGTAGGCTGCTGGGTTTGTGTGTCTGCCTGTCAGAGTCATACAGGTGTAGTGGTGAGATCCCTGCTTTTCTTACCCTAGGAGCTGGGCCACACCCTTACTGGGACAGAACTGCTGCCAGCCTCTTCGTCCCCGGCACCGGGGGTGGTTCCATCAGCCAGGACCTGGGTTGTGGCTGCTGAATTTCTTGCTCCAAAAGCCATCCCAGGAAGCATTAAACAGAGATTTTGTCTTATTTTAAAAACCTCTCTGAAGATGTCTAGAGGAAAGTAAGGGTCCTGCCGAGAAGGAAGAGGTAGGAGCTTTGTGAGCAGAAGGTGGGTCCTCAGGCATTTGTGTATTTTAAAGCTTCCTCGGGGTGGATTGGAGGAGGCTGTGGCCTGGGGGGCCTAGATAGGCTCCTGTCAAATTCCAGGAGGGGGCAGCTGAGGCAGGAAGCTCTCCTTTGGGCGGCTCCAGCGCCAGGGTGGTGGGCTGAGCTGAAGGCCGCATCAGCCTCAGGGAAGTGTTGCAAGGTCTGTGGGCTCCAGACTCACTAGGCTGGCTGTGCCCGCAGTCCGTTAGGAGCGAGCTCAGAGCCCTGGACGGTGGCGTGGGACCACCCTGCTGCTGAGGAGGTAGGTCGGACTTGGATAGACAGTGGCCGCATTTTGGCAGACTGGGAAGCACTAGGTGTGGGTAGGGCCTGGAGGGCGGTGAGCTAATTACTGTGGCCTCGATTTGTATTTTACTCTTCAGCAGTGGCGACCATCTTCCTCCTGTGTGTTCAGCCATGTACTGGTCATGGAAGTGGGAGCCACACCCCCACCCCTCATCCTATGGAGACAGACCTTGCAGAAGTGGGGCCCTGGGAGTCCCTGGAACCTCTGGTCCCAGTCTGTCTGCCAGGGGTGCTGAGAGAGTTCAGAGCTCAGCTCTGGTTCCACCGGACCAGGGTGTAGATTCTGGCTTGGGATGGCCGTATCTCTAAGGGCAGGCATTGAGAAAGGGCTGATGTGCTGGCCTGGGGTCTTGCAGAGGACAAGCCAGTATCTTCTTCTACCTGCTGACCCCAATCCCTATTGGAGAGCACCCAGGGCTTCTCTGAGCAGATGTGTTTATCTGGAACTGTGCTCAGTTTCCTTCTTCTCCCCAAGTAGACAGGTTGTGACCTTTGGGGTGGGGGGGTGGGGAGGAGAGGCAGCCCCTGGAACTCTGAGAGGGCCTGGAGGTGGAGTCTCCTGGGCCCCCAGATGCCTCACTCAGCGGAGATCTGGCATCTGCACCCCCATGCCCGACTACTACCTACCACTTCCGCCACTCAAGTAGGCAGCAAGTCCCCAGCCCCCGGCTGAAGCTCTCGCCCCTAATCAGTGTCATAGATGGGTGTGTAAAGAGGCTTTGTCCTTAAGCAACCCATTTGGCCAACTCTGTCCAGAACTGAAGACAGAGTGGGGGAGAGGGCAGAAGCCGTGAGCCGAGCTCTGGCCACCCGGCAGAGTGGGGGTTAAGGCTAGTTGCTTGGCTCTAAGCTGATCTGAGCCAGTGCTGCCCAGTGTGCAGATGGGGGGGGGGGGCAGCTCCTCATAGAGCTGTTCTGTGCTCAGGTCCCTGCCAGACCTGCTCCCGCGGCCTCCAGGGAGCCGCTGCCACCTCTGCTAACGCCGCCGCTGCCACCCGGCTTCTCAGAGCGGGCGGCTGTTGCCATCCGCTGTCCCCAGGAGGGCAGACTCGGGGCAGGGCCTTCGCCACTTTTGTGCTTTGCTCAAGATGTGGTAAGCTCTCTCCCTGAGCCCCACACACCCTTTATAAAGGGAGGCTGGTACTAGTGGGACCAGTTCAGCTGCCTCCCCAGTGCCAGGAGCCCTCTGGAAAGGTAGGGTGTAAATGCATGTCCTTTTGCAAGTTATGTTTGAGCCCTTCTAGCTGGCAAAGAGACAGAGTAACTGCTTTAGCTAACTACTGTCTATGAGTGTTTCACTTACTCTGTGATTGGCCCCACATTCTCTGACCCTGAGCTTCTTAGAGAAGTAGCCCTGAGGGGTCAAGTGACTTATCCAAGGTCATATGGCTATCAAGAGTGTGAGTGATTTGGACCAGGTCAGTGCAGCACCAGAACTCGCCTTGGAGCCCTTTCCCTACCTTGTTTGCTGGAGATCCCGGTCCCTGGGAGAGGTTGTGATTTTCTTTTTGAAGCTTTTCATTGGGAGGTAAGGGTGTTCTTTAGTAATCCGGTGGCTTGCCTTGCGCTGCCTACCATTTCTGAACTCCTCAGAGGTTTTCAGAAACTCAGAACCCTGCTGCAAGGGCCCTCACCCCACTCCAGTCTGATAGAGAAGGAACATGGGTGATTCTAAAAGAAGGGAAGAATCTGAGGGTCAGGTTGTTCTTCAGCACTGAGCATGATGAGTTGGACTTTTATCCTAAGGTAGTGGTAGGGAGCCAAATAAGGTCTTTGAGTAGTAGCATGACATAGTCATGTCTGTGTGTCGGGAAAATATACTTGGTATCAGTGTAGGCACCAGTCAGAGCAGGGACGCCTGTGAGGAGGCTGGTGTGGGAGTCTGGACTGTGCTTGCTGGTGGCTGGACCAGGCCAGGAGCTGTGGGGTGAAGAGGGGTAGTCACCTTTGAGGCGTATTGAGGAGGTGGCCCTGACAAAGCCATCTAGCCAAGTTGCCAAGGTCTAGAGTGCTGGGGCTAGGAGGTCGGTTCAGTAGAGGGTCCTTGGAGCCAAGCCATGGGACCCAGAGCCATCTCCACAGGGACTGTGCCCTGAGCTCTGCCTCAAACACCTGGTCACCGTGGTGCCAGCATGCTTCCCACCAGTGTCTCTTTCCTCCCATCCTCTCCCTTCCTGCACAGCTCTGTCTCTTACCACCTACCTTCCCTGTGCCCCAGTCAGTGGAGGACCTACTATGGTGGGGGTAGTCCCAGGCCCTTAACCTGTGCCAACAGCTGTATCCTGAACTGTTCTGGGCCAGAGGAGAAGAAGGCATAGGATACGCCGGAGGAGAGGAGACTGGTTTGAGCTGAGGGCCGGGTCCTTCTTCAAGGTGAATATTTACAAACACAGCAGCTCACTTGGCAACAGGGCACCACTGATTCCCTTGGGTGCTGCCCACCCCCCCATCCCTGTCCCATGCTACTGCAACCAGGAGAGGCTCCTGGGGCCTGGGAGGAGGCAGCTACTGCTAGCACCCCAGGGACCGCCAAACCCCACCCTAGTCCAACAGAGAGGGAGTGAAGGTCAGAGGAGGCCAAGGCCCTGTGAAATAAGGAAAGGAGACCAGACTCCCAGACCTAGGCTCTACCCTGCCCCCATGCCAAGTGTTTGGTGGCATGGGTTGGCTCTTAGGCTCGTGTCCTCAGAAGACCTGAATTTGCAGCTCTGCCCTGCAGTGGCTCCCAGGTCTTGGGGCAGATGCATGCGGCCCTGACTGTGTCAGAGAAGGTTGGCAAGCCTAGAAGCATGATATGGTGCCCAGTTGATTGCCTTGTTGCTGCCCACCAGGCAGGGGTGCAGGCCCAACCTGAGGAGGAGTGGGGAGTCCAGCCCTTTCTCCAGCACCTCCCATTGCCCCAGGCAAATGGGCTTCCTGGAGAGAAGGGCCCAGCCTGGAGAAGCTGGTGAGAGGAAGGGCGCCCATGCCTAGTGTGTGCATGGTGGAGAAACAGACATGGGCCTGACTGGCTGCTGCCACTTCCTGGGCTCTGGCGGCCTCATGCTGCCTCCCACCCCTGTGGTCTTGGCCTGGGCTCTTCTGAGCAGGTCTGGAGCCGCTTATGTGGGAGCTTGACACCCTTGGACATAGAGGTGTGGGTATGGGTGGTCCAGTTCTGGCAGGGGGTGGGGTGGTGATACCACATGAGGTTGTGGTTTGGGAGGCTGTAGTCTGAGGCCTGGATCGGGCTCCCCCTCTTGCTCCCTGTGTACCTGTAGACGGCAGCTACCTTTAGCAGCGTCTCTGTGCTCCCATCTCAGGCGAGGGCTTCTGCTTCCCAGACACCAGCAATTCAGGAAGGTTAGACAAGTTCTGTTTTTCCCTATCCTGGGGACTCTGATATTTTGGTGACTTCTGAGAGTGCACGTACCTAGGAGGCCAGCCTTGACTGGTGGCAATGACCTTTGTACAACATTTCCAGAGCTCAGACTTAATTTCCTGAGCAGGATATTCAGCCAGCTCGGTGCTCTCCACTCTCTGTCAGCTCCAAACTTTGTGTGTTGGCTTCCCTCTGCTCAGGACACACTTTCCTCTTTGTCCGTCTGTCTCAGCATCAGTACAACTCCCTGCCAGAAGCAGGTCCTGACTCCCCTGAGTCGGGCACCTTCTCTGGCTCCCCATGTCTGATCACGGCCCAGACTGTGCTGCACAGTACCGCCCCCTCCTTCATGTGTCTCTTCCATGGGACTGAGGGCAGACCCACATGTGACTTGTCCCAGGGCCCAGCCCTGAGCCAGAGGAGAGTGGGGAGGGTTTGCTCTGTGATTGGGGGTTGGTTGGGTGGATGGATGACTTGGCCATTCTGGGCTGTGCTCTGCGAAAACCCCAGCATGGCAGCAGAGACTGCAGATGCCACGTTCTCCTGCAGCTCAGCGCCCAGCAGCTACTGCCGAGGGCTAAGGACTGCTGATAGTGAGCTATCTTTGCAGGGTTCTTGCTGACATTTTTGGGACCACATAGCTGAGCTCTTGAGCTTGTCCAAGGCTTTTCAGCCCATTGACTCAGTTCAGCCCCATTAGAAGAAACATTAGGCAGCTCAGAGCCTACCCCAAGAGCTGATGAGCATATTTGGATTTTCTATGTGTGGACTAAGTCACTTTTCTGCTAGGCATGGCCATGACTCAGTCACCCCATCTGCAGCTTAGGGAAGCAAATGTCCTAAGGAAGTTAGCTGGTCACCTGCCCAGGATCTTCCCCAGAATGGTTTTCCTTGGTGAATTCACTGGGGTCCATAGCCGGGCCTCTTCTCTGCTAGTGGGGCACCTCATGTGATTGATATGCCAGGAGTGGTTTGTTCCTGTGGGATGATAGCCTGTTGGCTGATCTAGCTTGAGGACGCTGCCAGGAAAATTGGGTTTCCAGCTCAGGAACTCAGTGGGAATGACCATGGTGCCGGGGGCTTACATTCTCTGCTCCCCAGGGAGCCCCCAGAGTCTGTGGGTGGCTCACGAGTGTTTCCAGGACTCAGACGGCCTGTTGTGCTGTGCACAGAGCATCGGCTCCTGAGGGGCTGCAGCTGGAGCCCAGCCACCTCTGTCAGGTGCTTGGACCTGCTTGGACTGGGCAGCCTCCTGGTCTCACAGCCATACTCCATACCCATCTGTTTTGTCATGGCGTGCCTCTAACTATGAGTATGTGGCTGAGTGATGCTGTCCCCATTCTAAAGATGGGCAAGGAGAGGTCCACAAAGCTGGGTTATGTGGAACCTTGTGTGGCTTGTGAGTGAAGGAGAGGGGATTTGAAACAAGATTTGCCTGCTTTCTTGGCAATGATTTTGCACATCACTGACCTCATCTCTGGTGTGGTTTAGTACAAATATTATTTGTTAGGATTTCAGCAGATCTCTCCTCTCTCAGGGGTCAGGCAATTGCAGCTTGGCTCATATCCTGTGGCAGTAGAGTGGCTGCTGTTGGATTTCTCGTTGTTTCCCAAGAATCGAAACCACAGCCATGCTTCCAGAGGTAGAGGGCCAGCAAGGAGAGTGGCTGCAGATGGGGAAGTGGTGCCTGGAGCCTATCCAGCCCTCAGCAGGCTAGTAGACCTGTCGGTGTTTTGTGGCATTACTAGTCTCAGATATTCCTAGGCAGTGACTCCAAGGAGGCCCCCATGGGGATAAGAGCATCCAGTGCCTGGTCCATCCTTGCTCCTTCTCTCAGTCCTAAGTGTAGACCCCTGAGCCCAGCTGGCCATGTCCGCTCTGCCAGCATGGTTCACTTAGTGGCCATTGGGAGGACATGGTAGCTTCTGGGACTGCTCTCTTTGAACCGTTAGTCACTAATGCTTCCCACAGAAATGCTTCCCCTGTCCACCCCAAGGCATCCTCTCTGTCCCCAGGTAAGCTCACTGTGTCCTCTCAGGCTGAGGTGGGCAAGCATGGCACCCTGACCCCCATATCGCAGGAAATGCTGGTTACCCCCAGGAGAGCACACAGCACCTTGCTGAGCCCTTTCTCTCTGGGCTTTGCTTCCTTTCCCTTCCCACCAGTTTAACATGTGCTTCCTGGGCCACTCCTGTTTCCTTTACACATTAGCGGATGGGGTATCCAGTTAATGGGACCAGTTAATGGTGGGTCACCTGTGCCTCTTGGTGCTTGGTCAGGGGCAGTGCAGAGCCCCAGCGCATAGTGGTCAGTGGTCTGGGGCCAGGGAGTGGTGCCTTGACCCTACCCTGGCTGCTCTTGATAATGCTGCTATTCCTCAGAAAGTTGGCCACAGCATCACCTCTGGCCCTGGCAAGACTTTGGCTCCAAGTTTTCTTAAGGAGCACCTGGATGAGGCTGTAGACCTGGGGGAACCCTGCTGTGTCACTCTCTGGAACCTTGCCAGATAGAGTGATGCCCTCGTGTCATGAGGGCCAGAGGTGTCTGTCAGGATGGGTCTGTGGGTTCTGCTCCCCTTGCCTTCTCTGTCTCCCTCAGGGTCAGGGCCTGGGACTGGGAGCTTGGGGTAGAGTGGGAGGAGCCTGCATCAGCCCATTCATTCTGGCCACTGTGTTCTTCATACTCCAGGAGCAGAGGTAAGCACACTGGTCTGACCATACTGGTCTGTACCCAGACCTTGGGGCTCAGAAGGCTTTACTTCCAGAGATGTCAGAGCATGCGCTGGCCTCCAGAGAATACGGAAGCATCTGTCAGTCATGGCCCAGGACCTGAGCATATGGTTCTCAGAACTGGGCTGGATGTGAGAGTGTCAGGGGTGACTCCTCAGGGTTCTGGCCTGTCACCTAGAAAGGTCCTTCTAGAAAGCCAGCTTCTGGGATATGCAGTGTTATACCAGGCGACTATACACCCAGCTAGCCCAGGGCCTGCCGTACAGTGTATTTGGCTGGGGTCTGGCTGAGGTCACTGTGCCGCTTGTGACCCAAGACAGATAGAAGGACAGACCCGGGACTCCTCCCTGGCCTCTATCTGCTCTCCTCTCTCACTGCCTATTGTTTCCTGCAGAGTTCATCCTCTCGCTTCTGGAGAAGATGCAGACACAGGAGATCCTGAGGTTGCTGCGGCTGCCCGAGCTGGGGGACTTGGGCCAGTTTTTCCGCAGCCTCTCAGCTACCACCCTCGTGAGTGTGGGTGCTCTGGCTGCTATCCTCGCCTACTGGTTCACGCACCGGCCAAAGGCCTTGCAACCACCATGCAACCTCCTGATGCAGTCAGAGGAAGTGGAGGTGAGCAGAGTGCAAGCAGCAGGCCTGTGGCAAGTAGCAGGTAGAGGCGTCTTAAAGGTAGAAGCCAAACTTGCAGCTAATTTGATCCAAAATGGTACAGAGAATCTTGTTTTCCCCTGGCGGTGAGCCAGTAAGCCCCCCAGGGGCCTTGAACAGGGTCTCCGACACAGTGCTCCTCTGCCTTTTCTAGGAACTGAGCATGAGCCCTGGGCAGAGCCCATCCGTGGCCTTGCACTGGATCTCTAGTTTGTCTGCTTCTTGGGTGGGAAGCCTTGGCTCCCTGGTGCTTCAGTAGAAAGCCTAAGGTTCTCAAGGGGCCACCAGGTAACTTCCCTCTTGGTCTCCCTGTGCCAGCCCCTGGTTTAGAACTGGGACTCAGAACTGAGTCCACCCCATGGCCCTGTCTTCCCAGGGCACATGGGCCCCCAGGAGGGCCAGCAAGGAGAGGAAGGGCAGTGGTCTGGCCTGGACAAGGGTATTCCAGGCTCAATCTAAAAGGACTGGTGAGATTTCTTTCTTTCTTAAGCTTATGAAATTTATTTTGCCTTTTAAAAAATTGTCTTTTTCCTAAACTTTTTGAATAAACATTTTGAATAGTTAATGTATTCACACTTCCAAAGAGGAAAAGTTATAGACTGAAAATCTACCTTCTTCCCCTCGCCTGCAAGTTCTCCTCCCAAAGGAACATTCCATGAGTAAATGGATAGTTATCTGCCCTCTTTTTTTTTTTTTTAAGATTTTATTTATTTATTTTAGAAAGAGAGAGTGAGAGAGGAGGGGAGGTGGAGAAGGAGAGGGAGAGAGAATCTTGAGCAGACTCTGTGCTGAGCATGGAGCCTGGGAGGCAGGGTGCTTAACCTCATGACCTGAGCCGAAATCAAGAGTCAGATTCTTAATTAACCCTCTGAGCCACCCCAGCACCCTGCCCCTCTTTCTGAATACTAACTTGCTGTACACACAGTTCAGCATCTTACTGTTTTGCTCTTAAGGATGCCTTTCTTCAACCATGAGCATAGCAGAGTTTTGTGTGGTCAGAGAAGATGCAGGTCTAGGTAGGACAGGGATCTTCAGGGTACTTTTCCAGCAGGAGGCATGATGTGTGCAAAGGTGTGGATATGTGATCTTGCACCTGGTGGCTTCAGGAAATGATAATTCACATGGAGTGGCTGGACAGTGGAGGGGGTAACCCTGGACTAGCAGAGTGGTGACCAGAATGGCCTCTGGTGACCCGCAGCCCCGAAAGGTTGGCCATGCCTCTTACTAGCTATATGGTCCTCGGCAGTTTCTTAACTCTCTGAGCCTCAGTGTCCTCAACTGCCAAGTGGGTAATAAAAAGAATGCCCACTTCCTAAGATTGTAGTAAAGACTTGGTAAGATGACACAGAGAAAGCACTAGACTAATCGTTTCGGTAGACTTGTAATTACAACTTGTTTGGAGAGGCCAGTAAGGACAAAGCCCCATGGGCTAGGAGCCTGGAGGCAGGCAACATGGATTTGCTTTGGGTTTTTAAGTAGTAAAGAGACACAGGTCCAATTTGTGCTATAGAAGGATCGAGTGTCCTGGACAGGAGTGTTCCCAGACAGGTACCTTCAGCCAGTACACAAACTAATTCATACTACTATGTGAGTGATGGATGGCACCTAAATGATTCTTAACCTAGGGATGCAGCAGCAGCAGCAGTAGCTGGCGATGAGGGCCATCCCGATGCCAGAGGATGACCTGACGCCTACTAGCACTCCCCACGGAGTGACCCATAGCTGTATATGAATCGTAACTGGAATTCTGGATGTTTTGTGGGTGCTGCGTGCACCTATGGGAGACTAGCGTACCGGGCCTGTGTGCGTGAGCCAACTGTGTTGGAGTGAGGGGGCGTACAGGTCAAGTGTGGAAGTCGTGTGTGTGCCATCCAGGTGTTCTATCTAGGCCCCATGTGTGAATGCGTACAGCATGTCACAGTCCCACCTGTGTGGCCCTGGTGTGCGTCCACGCTGTGTACAGCCTGGTGCGCGTCCACGCTGTGTACAGCCTGGTGCGTCCTGGTGCCCTCTCCTGATGCCTCTGTCTGCCTCAGTCAGCTTCCCTGGCCTGTGCTTGGCTCGTAGGGCAGTGGTGGGGCCCGGCGATCTGTGATCGGGGATGGCCCTCAGTTGCTCACCCACTACTATGATGATGCCAGGACCATGTACCAGGTGTTCCGCCGCGGGCTCAGCATCTCAGGTGAGAGGGGGCATAGGGGTGTGCAGGAGCTGTGGTGGGAATGAGCAGGTACAAATGTGGGGAGGGGCAAGCCAGGTACCGGGGGCCTGGGAGGAGAGTGGTACTGGGGTTCAGAGGAGAAAAACCACTGTTAGCCCTTCTCCTGCCCAACTGGAGAAGTAGCTGCAGTGTGTGGCCAAAGGGCTGACCTCAGCTTTGTTCTAGCACTTAGGACTGCCTGACCTTAAGCTGGCTCTTAGCCCGTACTTTATACTGCCATAGGCAGCCCCTCATAAGCTTCATACTGCCAGAGCACTGGCTGGCACGGTTCAGAACCTGCGCCTCTGAGATGTCTAGGTGGGCCAGGGTAGGGGGCAAAAGGAAATGGTCCAACAGAGGCAACTTTCCACCTCTTCCCCATGGCTAGGTCTCTGTGTCCTCCTGGGGCTGCATCAGACAGGTCATGGTGGGAACTGGCATTGTGTTATTCCTCATTCCTGGGTCTCCCTGATCCCTGAGGGGACACATCATGCTGGTGCACTTTAGGCCTTCTTGGGCTTCAGCAGGTTAGACAGGGAGCTAAGGGGCAGTTCGCCTGACTCCTAGACTAGCCACCCCACAGCCTGGGATGGCCATTCAGATGTCTGATGAGCAGCTGCTGGTGACAGCCCACCCTACCGTCCTCCCTGGCACGAGGCCCGCTTATCTTCCTGCAGGGAATGGACCCTGTCTTGGTTTCAGGAAGCCGAAGCAACCTTATCAGTGGCTGTCCTACCAGGAGGTGAGTGACAGAGGACAGGCCGCACCCTGTCAACCCATGGAGACCTGGCATTGGGGGGCGCATGGGCACCCTGCAAGGTCTCAGAGGGTCATTGTTTCCTTGCCTGGCCTGTTTGCCAGACTCCTGGCAGCTACCTCACAGGGCTTCCAGCCGATTGTGTAGGGACTTGGGAAGGTCTCAGACCTGTAAGAATCCCCACCTGGGGATCTCCCTTCCCTGATGAAAGTTGCTTTCCATCACTTCCCCATGTCTGTGTGCAGGTGGCTGACAGAGCTGAATTTCTAGGGTCTGGACTTCTCCAACACAATTGTAAACCAAGTACAGATCAGTTTATTGGCGTTTTTGCTCAAAATCGGCCAGAGGTAAGTATCTGCCTGGAATGGTTTTAGAGGTATCAGTGGAGTAGGGGCTTGAGTATCATACACAGCCCTGCTCCCATCTGGGACAAGAGGAAAAATGGATATCCTTGGTGCATGCCACCCCTCAGTCTCTTGGGTTTGCCTCTAACCATGAGTGGACAACCTGGACAAGCTCGGTCTGTCCACATCAGCCAGCCCCACAAATAGCTGTTCCCTGAGCCATGTGGGAAGAAGGACCCAAAGAAGAAGGCCATGCAAGCCCTTTAAGTAGGCTTGGGGCTGTTTGGAGTCTCAGAATTCCCTGGGGCATGCATGATCCCGAAGGCTGTGGGTAAGTGGGCAAAACCAACTGGCTTCACAGACGCCTTGCCACATGGAGAGGGCCAGAACAGAGCCTTCTCAATAGGACCCAGAACAAGTCCTCCAGTTGCCTGGGCATAAGGGCCGTATAGCCCTTCTATGTGCTGTGGGCTCCCCCAACCCCAGACCCATGTGTTTCCACAGTGGATCATCGCAGAGCTTGCCTGCTACACATATTCTATGGTGGTGGTCCCGCTCTATGACACTCTGGGCCCTGGTGCTATCCGCTACATCATCAGGACAGGTGAGCCCCTACATCCCCTTCTTGTCACTGGCAGCCAGCCCTCCAGATCCCCACCTCTCATGTTATACTACTTGTCTGACACCGATAAGCTCTTGGCTTCCATTCTCAAAGAACATTTTCCACTTTGGCCCTTGAGTTGGCTTTCCCCACTTGGACTTCACCTAAAGGCACCTTCCATGGGGCCTGGCTATCATGAAGGAGCCTCTGCACCAGCCCCCACACAGGCTTCCAATTCCCTGAGGGTTAGTATAGCTTGGGCCAATGCCCAGGGGCAGGGGCGGGGGTGGCAAATAGCTCCTGCAGACCTGAGATTATGGAGCCTGAGCCTGGAGTGAAGGAATGCTTGGAATCTGCTCTAGGAGATTCCCTGGCCTTTTGTCCTTGGCTTCTCCGTAGCTCCCTGTGTTTTCCTCTCTGTACAGCACATGGCCCCACGTGCCTATCTTAATGCATTTATTTACACGCAAGCTCGGGCACACACAGCCTGTGGTTCTGTGGCCTGGCCCATGTACCCATGGTCACAGCCTATGCCCACACAGCATGACTTTCCCTTCAGCTGACATCAGCACCGTAGTCGTGGACAAACCTCAGAAGGCTGTGCTGCTGCTGGAACATGTGGAGAGGAAGGAGACTCCAGGGCTCAAGCTCATCATCATCATGGAACCGTTTGAGGAAGCTCTGAAAGACAGAGGGCAGGAGTGCGGTGTGGTCATTAAGTCCATGCAGGCTGTGGAGGTGAGGCTCTGCTTCTGGGCTGTTCCTGGCCCACAGCTGGCAGGCTACCCAGCCAGAGCAGCTGGTTATCTGCCCCTCTCGTGCCCTGGGGTGTGTGTCTTAGGTCATAAGGACATGTCAGGGTTGAAACAGGGCAGGCTTCATGAGGGCTGATGGTGGGGGCTGGGACCGGGGTGCCTATGGGCATCCCCTAGGCAACAGGCTCCATTGGCTGGCACAGTTAATGACATAGGCACCAACAGGTGGATGGGGGTACCAGCCTGCCCAGAATTACTCATGTAGCCTCTGGGGCTGCCTTTTCTCCAGCCCATCTGAACCTGAGGACTATAGACAGACATTCCAGGAGTCTTTGAGGTTCTTTCAATGTGCAGAGACTCCTGGTGGCCAGCGGAACTAGTTTTTCTGTGTGTGACCTTCCTCGAGGTGTCAGTTTAGTGGCAGCTTATGGCCTGCTAGCATGACACAGGCCATTCTGGCCTCCAGGGCCTCATGCCCTGCTCAGTAGCAGCTGACCCCCACCGTACCTTCCTGGACGTCGGCTCCTGGGCTCCCCCCTTCTCCTCCTGCATGCTTGTCTATTCTGGGCAATGCTTGTAATGCCTGTGCACTTGTACCCTTCCATGGCTTTGGGGGGCCACATTTACACTGGCAGCCCCCATCTGCCCCTCCAGCCCTGACCCTTTATCTGGAAGTCCCAGCCACCTAGCCCCTCTGTCCTGAGCGGCACCTCAAGCCATCTTCCCACTGTGCATGTGCACAGTGCCTCACCTTTCCCTGGGCCTCGGCCTCTTGTCTATAATGTGTGGGGTGGCCCAGGCCTGGATGCGTATTTGAGGAGAGGCCGCTCAGGTGGTTTCTCCACATGGGCTACATCTGGACAGGGAATCCTGAACTCTAGACTCAGCACAAGAGCAAGGCATACTAGGCTGAGTTTGTTTTGATTTCTTGTTTCTTCCTTTGTTTTGATGGATGAGAACTTTTGAGCATTTAAAAATAGTACTTTTCTCTTCCAGGAGTGTGGCCAACAGAATCACCAGGCTCCTGTGGTAAGCTCCTCTGCCAGCAGGTCTTTCTTGAGCAGGATGCTGTGCAGAGCTGATCCTCACAGACACCCCCCTCCCCAGGGGCTTGCTAAGAGGTCAGAGCAGCACTCCTGTGCTGATTAGCAACTACACTAAGCAGCTTGGGAAATGCACGCTCAAAGTGCCAGGACTTCTGTGGGTGAGGATCTAGAAAGTGACCTGGAATAGGTGTCAGGTGTTGAGGAAGGAGGAAAAAAGGGCAGCCAATCCTGGCCTCTCTTGGTTCTCCAGAAGGATTTTCTTGGGGACAGTGCATGGTTTTCTTTGACAGTAGTGAACTCTGTAAGGACGGGGAGAGCAGAAGCTGTCTTTCTTCATTTTTGCTTTGTGATTTTTTTTTTTGTGTCGCCCTCAAGTGATACTGCCTGGGGTTGAGTCACCAGTAATGGTCACTGGCCCTGGGAGGGCCCTGTAGGGGTTTTCAGCTTGCTTACAAGGCCTCTTGCCTCCGCTCCTCCCTCTAGCTCAGCCCTTCCCCTCTTCTTGCAAGGCCCTGAGTTTTCTCATACATGGGCTGGCCATCACAGGTGGCTCTGGGAGGTTCCCACCTCCCACACACAAAACACCAGCCTTAGACTGCTGTTCTCTGACCCCCTGGCATGCCCTTGCTTCTACCAGGTGAGTTCTCTCCCAGAGCCCACCCTCTGTTCCGTTTGTCTGGAGGGATCTGGCTTGTCCCTCATTCTGAACTTGTGTCACGTCCTCTGCATGTGATCAGATGTGCTCGGCTCTTCCTGGTGACCCCAGGACTGTGTATCCTGTGTCAAGGACAAGGGCTTGATGCAAAGCAGTCATGGTGACACAGTGGGAAGCTCAGTTCCTGCGCCACATGTTCTGCTCCCAAGCCTAACCACAGACATTTGGGAGAAAGTGGGAAGGAAGGACTGCACTGGATCACATGCCCGAGGCCTAGATGTGGCCACTGCAGCCCAGTCCCATCTAGAATTGAACTCAGATTCAAGTCAGGGAGGCAGCAGATGCAGGTGAGAGGTTAGTGGGACAGATGGACTTCCAAGCTCCTATTAGGGTTCCTCAGCCTCTCCTCCCCTTTCCCAGGGATGTGCCAGCCTGCCCTTCTGACTGCAGTGTGCAGGGCATGCGCCCAGGCCCATGTGGTGGGTGGGGGCGCACAAAAGGGCCGGCTGGTAGAGAGGCCTAGAGATCCTGGGCCCTGGTTGGCCACACTGGGTCCCTTTAACTCACGCCTTTTCTCACCCTGCAGCCCCCGAAGCCCAGCGACCTCTCCATTGTGTGTTTCACAAGCGGCACAACAGGTGAGCAGAGGTGCCCAGATCACCATCCAGGGCCACCGGCAACCTTCTCTAGCAGCCTTGGTGGGGCGGATTCAGGGCTCTCTGGTGTCCTAGGCGGCATGGGCTGAGCCTTGTCCTATGGCTGGCTCCAGACACTGGGCCCTTCCTGCCACTCCCAGTGCCCAGTAGGAGGCAGCCCAGGTGGCTGGACGTGAATGGACAGTGTGATCTGAGAGGCGTGGGGTCGGGGCTCACCAGTACCTACACTGGGGCCAGAGGAGAACCGGATAGCCGAGTCACTTCATCCCTCCCTGAGAAGCAGCTCTTACCCCGGTGCTTCCTGCCCCTGGCTGGCCTTTGTGTCGGAGACGGGGAAGAGGTGTGGGGTTTGGTGTCTGAGAGCCTCCATTTGAATCCCACTTCCCCCACTTGCTGGGGGGTCTGAGCCAGTCATGTAAACTTGCTGCCACCACTCTGCCCAGCTTCTTACCTGGGACGGGGGCTCTTGAAAGTGCCAAAGAAGAGAGGGGATGTAATGTGAAAAGGCGGTGCAGAGGCTCTGTCGTGGGGTGGGGTGGGGCTGGTGTGCTGTGGGCATGGCTGTGGGGATGAGGACAAGCAGAAGTGACACCCACATGCCTGGTGCTGACAGAGGAGGGCACACAGCTGCATAGCAGGGACAGCCAAGGCAGGCTGCATGGGGGCGGGGTCAGGATGCACACGGTCACGGGCACAGCACGTCATAGTCTGCAGTGCCCTGTGGACCCAGGGACTGAGTGCTGGGGCCTCTGTATGGCCTGTGAGGCCAGCAGGTGTGGGGGGTTGGCCAGGGGGCCTCCTCCACTAGCAAGTGGAGGTGGGGGACTGGGGTCCTGCTTCTGTGATCCCCAGGCCAGCGCTCTTCCCCTTTGCTGCTCCATCTCATCTATGGACTTGGGAAGTTGCTTGTCTTTTCTCCGAACGGGCAAGGAGTTTCTAGCCTTCTTTTTCCAGACCGAGGACTGGCCTGTCTTGGTGATAGCTCTTGGTGGGGTGGGCAGTGAATCTGGGGCTTCTGACGCTTTCCACACACACAGCCTCTAAGTCCGAACAGCCCCATGAGCAGGACTCTCCATGAAGACGGATCACCATAAACGTGGCTTTGTTGGATCTAGATGGATCTTTGCCATTAACTCGGGTTTGAGGGTTTCTACCACATTGCTAATTTTTGTCAGAGAAGAAGTAATGTAGCATTTGCTCTCCAGGGGCTGACATCTAGATTCAAGCCAGAATTCAAAAATGCCTTTCAGGTTTATATTGTTCTTTGTCATGAGTTTCATGACATACACTTTTAGTGACCTGTCTTTCCAGCCTGGGCTGGGGAGCACGTGACCACTGTGGCCTTTAGCTTTGGACCCTTGCCCTTCGAGCGTGCCCCTAGGCTTTTCCTGGGTCACTTGATGTTGCCGCGTTTCTGGAGAAGAACTTCACAACGCAGAAATGTGCTGTCACCTGGCTGGAAAGGGCAGGCCTCCTGTCTAGTGATTTTGCAGACCATGAAGTCACCACAGGAAGCTAAGCCATCCTGCCCAGGCTCTGGGTGGTGGAAGTGGAACATATGGAGCTTGGCCAACAAGTGGTGATTTAGTGCCCAAGCCTCCTACTCCCGCTAGTGCTGGGGGCAGAGCTGGAGGATGGAGCACAGCTCTCATTGCCCTGCCTGGCAGTACCTGGATTTCCTTGGCCCTCGCCTGAACTTGCTGTGCCTCTGGTAGCCATCCTGTTGTTGAGCACATCAGCAAGGTGTGTCACAGCCCCAAGTCAGCTTCCCTTCCATACCAATCACCCTGGCTCCCAGCTTCATCAAGAGCCACACTGTTCTTTCAGTGGGGAAAGATAGAAAATATGATCTAAACCTGACATTTGGTTTGTGATTCTGGTGAAATCATTCTGGGAAGATTTTCTTCTTGGTATGTGATGGAAACCTCTGTGGAAATTTGTAGAATAAGCCCGTGCTTTGGAGCCCATAGTCAGGCCAAGAGGGTGCTGAAGGCGGTGAGAGCTTGGGATTTAATCTGTCCTCAGGGGTGGCTACTGGCTGGGTGTGTGGGTTGGTCGTTCATAATTCATAAAATGACTATTAGCTGGACAGGAATCTGACACCCCCTCCTCCCCAAGAAAAGAAGATTTGTGGTATAACATGGCCCAGTTTGGGAAATTGGGCCCCATGAATAATTAAGATGTATTCAATGAGGACATGTACCCTCTCTTCCCAGAGAAGAAAACATACCTTTCTTAACTGATATGCTTTTAGCATTCTTTTCCTACTTTATGTAGATTGACTCAGCACATTTGTGGAGCACCCAGTATGCATCAGACCACTGCTGGGGGCTGAGGTCACAGGGATGGATAAGCCAGAGCCCTGTCTCCATGTGAGTCCTGTCTCACAGCTCATGTCCCCTAGCAGTTCGGTACCATGTGGTCACTGCCCCGAGGGTCTGCATCCTAGCATGCCTGCAGCACTAGGCCACTGCGGGACGGGAAGAGCACGACAGAAAGTGTTCCCAGAGGAAGTCCATCTGCGGAGTCCTGGAACATTGGTAGCTGGAGGAAAATAGGAGAAAGGGCGTTCTCGGGAGGGGGATCAGCATGTGCTGAGGATCAGCTGCAAGGAGGAAAATGTTGCTTTGAGGGAGAGCTGAGTGAAGGAATAGCAGTCTCGGGCCAAATCCTGGAAGCACTGGCAGGAGAGGAGTGACAGGGGCTGGGGTTTCAAATGGAGGCTAAGTGGGTGCGGCCAGAGACCCTGGAGGAGAACAGACTCTGTCAGTGTTGTCTGGTGGCTGCGCCATACCCAGAGGATCCCACTGCAGAAACACTTGCTGGTGCTCTTAGCAAAGTCTAATCGTGGAGTGGAGTCTGGATGTAGACGCTGATGGCAATGGAATGAGGAGTGAACGGGAGGTGAGGATGTCACTTCAACAAGTATGGATAATTCCTTCAGGAAGCTTGGCCACGTCACCAAAAGGCCTGCTCCAGAACATTCATGACCTCGCTGTGTGGAGAGTCAGAATCTGGAAACAAGTCCAGTGCCCATCAGTGATGGAACAGTATACCCCAGTAGAGCATTCCACCTCACTGTATGTTGAATGAAAGAATCCAGGCACAAAAGAGTGCGTGATTTCTTTGACGTAAAGTTACAAACATAATCAACTAGTCTACGGTTTTAGAAGTCAGGCTAACAGTTGCCTTCCAGGATAAGGGGGCCCTGGATTACCGATGGTGTTCTATGTCTTGACCTGGTGCTGGTTGCACAGGTAAGTTCACTTTGAGAAAAAAAAAAATCTGTTGAGCCATATACTGATTTGGGCACTTTACTATATATGTATGTTGTGCTGTAAGAGAGATCTGTGGGAAAAAAAAGTACATTGGCTCTGAAGGAACAACAGAGCAAGAGTAGAGCTGACAGAGGCTGGGAGGGGGTGGGTTCTTGTTATTTTCTTGGAAACCCCTGCAGGTGTTTCTTGGTATCGAGAAAGAGCCACTAGAGACAGAGAAAGGGAGGTGCTGCTCAGTGGAGCCGAGCCCCCATAGCTTTGGTTTGGACTGGAGGAGAGAGGAGGCTTCCAGGTGCCACCAGGAAAGAGATGTGCCCTGCCTAGAGAAGGGAGGAAGAGTGGGTAGAGGCATCTCCTCTGTTCTAATTGAGGACACCCAGGAAAGCTCACTCATATGCAGTCCTTTAGCTGAGCATGAAGATGCCCCACAGCTTTACGTCTGTGGCAGCTCAGAGATGGGAGCTCTGGAAAATATTCTCCTTGACCTATTTATTTTACACCATTCAGTTCAAGACTTAGGTGACTATATGCATGAAACTACATCTCAGCACTCCTGCTCTGCAGCTTTAGGAGAATTTCTTCACCAGTCTTAAGCCCCCACTTCTTTGGATATTAAATGAAGCCATTCATGGGGCGCCTGAGTGGCTCAGTTGGTTAAGCATCTACCTTCAGCTCAGGTCATGATCCCATGATGGAGCCTGAGTGGGGCTTCCTGCTCAGTGGGGTGTCTGCTTCTCCCTCTCCCTGCTCCTACTCTCTCTCTCTCAACTGAAAAAAACACAAATCTTTAAAAGAACTAAATGAGGCCATTTGATATTTGCAGCGTAGACTGTTTTTAGAAATAACTGAGTACCATGTATGAGATGCCCACCTAGCACAGTGCCCACAATGGTGGGTGTTCAGTAACTGGCTGCTACTAGAGTTACTACTTGTATTCCTACCAGCTCTCAAGTCTGATTGTTTAAAAATAAAAAACTTTAAAAATGGTGGGTAGGGGGTTGATGAAAGTGAGGCTCAATCCTAAAGAAGGTGTGGGAGCCTCGAGCAGGGAGAATACTCTGCATTATAAATCTTCCCAAGCATTTCTGTTATCAGCCTCTTTTGTAACCCACCTTTGCATGAAAGCAGAAACAAGCAGCCAGAGGAACCTCCAGCCAGAGGGCCCAGCACTGCTCTCAATCCTACTCCCACCCACCCCTATAGAAGAGACCAGGAGCTTCCCCCTCCCCCACCATAACTGCTCTCACTTGGAGCCAGTGTCCATCCAGGGCAGACCTTCAGTCAGTGAAATGCCTTTCTGCATATCAGCCGTGGATGGCCAGCCAAGGAATACTGACTAAAGTCCAAATGACTTTTGCAGAATCTGCAAAGAAGAGTTCTTTAACTTCAGCAGCTGGAGAGAAAATAAATGGGAGGATGGCCAGGCTGTGAGTAGAAGGTTGGAAAGGGACAGTTGGTCTCATGTTGCTGAGATGTTGGGGCCCGGGCAGCACCTCCACTGATGTTGGAACAGAAAAGGAGAGAACCAGAGCAAACACTGGTTCTTTAACTTTGCTAGAGGTCTAGTGAGGAATGCTTACCTGTTCCTCCATGTGAGTAACTTGGAAAATTTTCCGTAACACATTTGAAGGAAATACTACCAGAAGCAAGCATTTGTCCTGAATCAGAGAAGCAAGCAGAACTTTCCAAAGCCTTTCCTCCCACCTCCCAGCTCGAACCTTGCATCCTGTCCCAGGATTTGTTGTCAACATGTGCTTCTCCTTCTTCCTTTGGGACCACATGGAGGCATGACTTGAAGACATGATTTGAACATCTCTGGGAATGTTTTAAAATTCTGTAACTCATTAGAAGTTTATAAAACCTCACTCATATCTGCAAGAAAGTTGGAGGAGGAGGAGAAACGCCAGAGCAAGAGAGGAGAGGCATACCACCGAGCCGGCAGCCAGCCCTAGCTGGGGAGGGAAGAAGTGGAAGCAAAGTGGTCAGATTCACACTTTGGACAGACACCTGCAGTTCTGCATTCAGTCCATCAGTGACTCACAACACCCATGAAACTGACCTGACAATAACCAGAAAAAGCATGAGGTGCCTGTGTTTTCATCCAGGGGCAAAAGTACAATTCCCCACCACCCCCACTGAGTAAAGCCCTAGATGGAGCCAAAGGTTTGTTTCTAAAGGGTACAAACTTTTTCTCTCAGTGTTGGAGAGGAAGAAGGTTTTTCTAAGCAGAACTGAGTAACTGCTAACATTGTGTGTGTTGTGGACTGAACTGAATGGAGGCTTCAGACAATTTTCATGAATGAAGACAACTTGCTCTTGAGATTCTCAGTCAACCACCTTGAGGTTACATTAGGCATGAGCAAGCCAGCCAGCCTAGCAGATCTAAAGTTCTATAGCATTGGACAGTATGTTGTGGGAGTTCTGAGTTCATACCTAGTATTTTGGGGGTATTCCTTAGAAAATTCCAGAACTTGGGGATCCACAGGTGAAAATTTCCCAGAATAGTCTGTGGATCCAGAGATTCTGTGGGATTTGTACATAGGAGATGATTCAGGAACAGTTCTTAATCTGGGCTTAGGTTTGAGGAAAGATGCTGGGATGAAAGAAAGACCACCAGAGGTAAAACAGATCCCATGGGTCTTCATTTGAAAAAAAGAAAGATATTTTGACAGCTACATAATAAAGCCCTGTAACCTTCTGCGTCTCCCCACCCCACAAAACCCTCTGTGATTTGCAGAATGGGTGTTTGTGCCAGAGCACTTGTTAAAACCCCACCCACCATACGTCTTGGTCAGACTGAGATGCTCCTGTGTCTGACGGATGGAGTGCCAGTTAAGGTGAGCACACAGGCCACACAAGATAGAATTATGAGAGTAACTTGACTTTTGACTCCATCTGTGCCTTTAAAGTTACTCTGTGGGAACTTTTTCTGCCCTTGGGTGAAAACAGGCACCTCTTGCGTTTTCTGGTCACTGTCATGTCAATTTCATAGGTGTCGTAAGTCACCAACGGTCTGAATTCATAACTGCAAGTGTCCATCCAAAGTGCGAATCTGATCACTTTGCTGCCATTTTTTCCCTCCCCAGCTGGAGCTGGCTGCTGGCCTGGTGGTATGCCTCTCTCACTTGGGTGTTTCTCCTCCTCCAGCTTGCTAATGAAGCTTTGGGCCCTCTCCCACCAAGTGGAAATGGGGAGGGAGAAAAAGAAAGTGGGAAAGGGAAGTGGAGAGACAGTTTGGGGCAGACCTTTAAAACTTGCTCTTTGTGTCATGGCCACTTGTGGGAGTTGTCTTGATTGCAGGCAGTGTTCTCTAGGTTGTCTGCTCCCTCCTCCACTCCACCTTTGGCCAGTGGCCCAAGACTGCTTCCTCCTGAGTTGGAGGAAACTGGCCAGTGGACAAGACTCCTTCTTAACCCACCATTCCCAATACCCGCTAAGACTAATGTTCTTTCTGCAAACTCCATAACCAGTCCCTGGGATTTATTTGTTTGCAGACACGCTTTTTACACTTCTCACCGGGACCCTTAGCTGCAGGGAACTTGATCAGTTCTGAGTTAATGTGGGTTTTGGGTTGGGAAAGAAGAACCCCCCCCCATTCTTCCCCACTTTGATGGGCTATAGAACTATGTAGCTCTCTCCGAAGAAATTCTTCTCACAAATCCATTCCTCCATTTCTCCCCCTCCTCCCTCTCCTCACCTCCACTTCCTCCTCTCTCCTTTCCTTCCCCCTCCTTCTGTCCCCCTCCTCCTCCTTCCTCTTTTCCCTCTTCTTTTTCTTGTTCCTTTTCTCCTTCTTCACCTTCTCCTCTTCTTTTTTCTTCCCCTTCTCTTCCTCCTCCTCCCATCCTCCTTCTTCTTCCCCTTGTTGTTCTTTCTTCTTCTTTCTCCTCCCCTTCGTCCTTTCCCCCTCCCCCTCCTTCTCCTCCCCCTCCTCCTCCTTCCTCTCCCCCTCCCCTCCCCTCTCTCCTCTTCCTCCCTCCTCCTCCTCCTTCCTCCTCTTCCTCTTCTTCTTCTTCTTCTTCTTCTCTTCTTCCTCCCCCTCCTCCTCTCCTTCCCTCACTGAAGTAAATTTCATACAGCATAAAATTAAACATTTTAGTGTGAGCAATGTGGTGGCATATACTACAATACTCTTTTTATCTTGGGTCACTTAGTCCTTTTATGACCTCTTTCTAGGTGAGGGTTGCAAATTTAACATATTGGTTTATTTAATATTTCCTGGGTAAATTCTGCCCATGGTCTGGTCTTTCACTTTTGGAGTTTCATGGTTACTGTAACTGCTGCCTTAGTGGAAACTTTTAATTTAACATTTTTTGCACATAGATTATATTCTTAGAACTTCTGAAAGCCCTGGGAGGTGGGCATTGTCTCTGTTTTACAGGTAAGCAAACAGAGAGGAGAAATGGCTTCCCTGTGTTCTGCTGGCGGTGACAGGCAAGGCCAAGAGTCAAGAGGCTAGTTAGATGTGTGTCCTATTCACCCTGACTTGAAATGGTGACTAGCTGGCCTTCTTCCCCAGTCTATGGTGCCCTGGGTCCCCACCTAGCCCCTGTCTTCTGAGTCATTCTATCAGACCTGGGTTTCACTACAAGCAGTCCTGAAAGGTCTTATCAAGACAAAGCGAGAATATCCTTCTCCTGTCCTGTCTCTGCCAGCAAGGGAGGGACTGACCCCGTGCTCTGCCCCTCTAGGCTGGCTCGAGCCTGGGGCCTTTACAGGGACTGCATGCAGCAAGGAAGTCCTCTGTCAGCACAGTGGGCTGCTGGATTCTGGAGACAAGACCCACTCAGCCCAGAAAGGAGCACAGGGTACTGAGTGTATGTGAGGAGACTGGGGGATGGCAGCCCTCAAGGTGAGAGTCTCCGACACAACACCCATCAGCCTAGGACTCTGAAGTGGCTGCAGATGAAGGCCAGAGGCTCGGGTGCTGAGTGTCTGGGACTGTCACTGTCCCAGTGGCCCTTGAGCTTCTAGCTGATTTGCCTTTTTGCTTTCTCTTTTTAGGAAACCCAAAAGGTGCGATGCTCACCCATGGGAACGTGGTGGCTGATTTCTCAGGCTTTCTGAAAGTGACAGAGGTGAATAAAGTAGATTCACTGCATAGGTGTCTCTTGAGGACACCCTCAAGCCTCAGAGTTTTTTTGTTTGTTTTCTTTTCTTTTTTTTTTCCCCCAATGTAATCTGAGCTGCCTTTCCTATGAAAGGCAGGAGGAGTTACTCTTGTCATTAAGAGCAATCTGACTTTTACAGACACTTTAGCCCCCAAACCCTGAAATGACCCATGCCTGATAAATAGCCAGTTTGATTTCTGAGAGTGCGAAGATCCCAGAAAGAGAAACATGTAAACCTGTTTTTTCATCTTTAACTGTGAAAATTGAAATATGTGTGGTTTTGTATGTACCTTTATTTAGAAAGTAATCCTTAATAACTTGTCTTTCACATAGGTCAGGGTTTAATTCAGTCATTTTGTGTTTAAGGACTGCTCGAGTCTGAGAAATAACGGTAACTGCTAATTTGTAGACTGTACTTGAAAAGGTGAATCTAAAGTTTAAAAAAAAAAAAAAGCTTGATATCTTGGCCTGACCAAGACATGTTAGCGTTTTATAACCAACTAAGAGAAGGATGTTTTTCCACGAGTGGTGAGTATCCGTTTGTCCTGCAAGTTTCCTCAAGGAGAAAGGAATGTTCCTTTTCACGGAAGTCAGGCTTTTTCTCCACTGTGGAGAAAAATCTCTCTTTTGCATTCATGCCACGTGGCGGCATGGAGCATATGCCCCCCAGACACTGATAGATTTTGGTAGAATGGTGAGAGACTGTTGGTGGCTGAACCCACGTCAGGAGCCATAAGCTAGGTTCCCAGGGCTTGTCCAGACTGGTTCAGAAGCCAGCCCCAGGGAACGAAGGGCCTGTGAAAGGGTGGGGGTCAGGGCAGTCCACCGAAGGAGAGCTCCCAAGGACCCGGCCCACCCCCTGAGCACAGGCCTTGTGCAGCCCCTGTCGCTATGGTCAGTCCCATGTGCTTGTCAGGGGCAGGGGGGCATAGCAGGGCTCCCTCTCAGCCTCCTCTACAGGCCCTGTCCCCAAGCTGTGGCATGCAATGTCTGGTTCAGCCATCTGTCTGCCTGAGGCTTCTACCCCAGCCACAGCTGGTGCAGAGCTAGGGCTCCCCCGGGGTCCCTTTTCTGGAAGGAGGACTAGAAAGTGCCGACAAGGCAAGCCTCTCGGACTCCCCGCCCATGTGCCGCAGGGAGATGGCGAAGGGGGCCTGGCCCCAGAGGAGACTTCCCTGCGGAGCTGGACTCTGCTGGTTTATGTGTGCTTCACTGGGCTTTTTGCTTCTGCAGATAACCTAGACCCACTGGCTGCGCCCTAACACTCCGCCTCCTACGCTGCCCTGTCTCTCTCTCCCTCTCTCCTTCCTGCGCCTTTCATCTTCCTCTCTCTCTCACACAGTTTCTCTCTCTCTCTCTCTCTCTCTCTCTCTCTCTCTCTCTCTCTCTCATATCTCGCCTCTCTCTCTCTCCCTCCCCCTACCACTCAGTCCCTCCATTCCCCTTCCCCTCTTCCTGTTTGCCCCTCCAGGACCATTTTCTCTGTATTGTTTTATGACTCTCTCGTCGTCTTCCTGTCAGTGTTTCTTTCCTTTCTGTCTCCCATGCCCGTCACCTGCAGAAAGTGATCTTTCCGAGACAGGACGATGTGCTCATCTCCTTCCTGCCTCTGGCTCACATGTTTGAGAGAGTGATCCAGGTAAGACGCCCACCTGACTGACCGGGCCTTGCCTGGGCTCCTTCTGTTTTCTTACAGAGTCAGTGGGCTCCCACTTGTGCGGATGTGCACATTTCCTATTTGCCTTTAGCACACATGTTTGAGCGAATGGTGCAGGTAAGGCCCTGGCTCCAGAGAGGCACAGTCTGTGCCCAGAACCCAGAACCCTAGCAGAGTGTCACTTTGTCACTGGTGCCATGAAGTAGAACTAAACTGCCCTGTCCTCAGAAGCTACCAAGGGGTCGGGGGACCTTGGCTGCCTGACTTCTCCCTCCTGGGGAGCCTCCAGGGCCTACCCCAGGCCTGCCTTGTCTTACTTGCGGTTATACCTCAGCTGAGAGAGGCCCCAGCTGTTGGCCCACGCTCAGAGAGGATCATAGCTTTGCAGAAGTATTTTGCATTCACACTCTGTACACTGTGGCTCCACCTATGCCACGACACTTACATACCATAACTTCCAGAACTCATGAACTCCTAGAAAGGAAAACAAGACAGTAAGGTTGGGGAATCAAACTGCCATGACCCCTTGCTCCAGAGATGGGACCGGCATAATGATTAGTCCTGAGAACAGCCTTTTAGGGGTACAGAGGGAGTTGGGGGAGTCCACACAAGACTGTGGGAACAAAGGATTTTCCAGGCATGCGTCACTTGGAACCAGCTTGTGAATAATCTGTGTATTTTTTTTTTTTTAATAATTTACTTATTGGAGAGAGAAAGAGCACTAGCAGGGGTGGCAGAGGGAGAGGGAGAAGCAGACTCACCGCTGAGCAGGGAGCCTGATATGGGGCTCGATCCCAGGACCTAGGATCATGACCCGAGCTGAAGGCAGACATTAACCAACAGAGCCACCCAGGCTCTCCTAAGCTGTGTCTACTAAGCCTCTCCCATCTTGCTTGGAGGAAAGCTCGTATTTTAGGGCATGCTTTCCAGCTATTCAGATCTGAATTAGAATGCCATAGGTCATCACTATTAATTAGTTTTGTGACTCTAAGCAAGTGGCTTTACCTCTGTGAATTTTGCATTCCTCGCCTATAAAATAGAGATATAAATGCTGCCTCACTTGTAGGGTTGCAATAGGCATTAAATAAGGGAACATGTATTAAGCCCCATGCATATTCTTAAACCCATTAAGAACCAGCCAGTCCCCCTGCCCTGCCTTGGTCCCCCACACCAAACAGCACCCACAGCCAACATTACTCATGGGCACTGCACAGCTTTCCAGAGTTGCTGAGGTATCCCTGGGGGAAATCCATAGACCTGGAGCAGGCCTGTTGATAGGGTGCTGTACAGCTCAGAGACCTGAGTCCTCAGGAAGGCCCTTGCCCAGGGCTTGGGAGTTGAGCGTGAGGGAGTAGGCACCAGTGAGATTGACTGCTCTGCCATCTCCCAAAGGCCCAGGATCCCCCTCCATCTCTTGCTGCTTCACCCCGTGCCTGAGTGGGACTTAATGGGAAGGGGGGCACCTCATATGGTATTCTTGAGTGTCTCATGGCAGCAGCCAGAGCTGGGTTAGGGGGTCATGGGTGCCCTCCATGTGGGGCAGAGCTTTGGACTGCAGCCAGGACTGACCACCCTGAGGAACTCCTCCCTTCCTGTCCTCTCCCTCCAGTCTGTTGTCTACTGCCATGGGGGACGCGTCGGCTTCTTTCAGGGAGACATACGTCTCCTCTCAGATGACATGAAGGCTCTGCACCCCACCATTTTCCCTGTGGTTCCTAGATTGCTGAACCGGATGTATGACAAGGTAAGTCCCCTAGGGAGTCTCTGACCAGGCTGAGGTGCTGTGTATCTGCTTGTCTGGACAGGGTCTGGAGCCCCGGGTGAGCTTGCCATGCTGCCTCCCTCAGGTCCTCCCTCATGCCACCTCCCCTCTTCAATTCCTTTGCTCTCACCTTCCTTCTCCTCTTTTCTTCCAATTCTCTAACACCTTGTTTAAGGAGATTTTTTTCTTCAGGAATTTCTATCCCCACAATGTGACCAGGTGCTGGTTAGCCTTTAGCTGGGTGTCACACATCCACTGATCTGCAGAGGCAACATGGAGTGTGGCTTCTCTGTTGGTCAGGCTGGGCCTTCTTCCTGGGGGGTGTCTGCAGTGGTGTCTGTCTAGAGGTAGTACACACAGGGCAAAAGCTGTCTTCCAACTTCTGTTCCTCAGATCTTCAGCCAGGCAGACACACCATTAAAGCGCTGGCTCTTGGAGTTTGCAGCAAAACGTAAACAAGCTGAGGTCCGGAGCGGAATCATTAGGAATGATAGTATCTGGGATGAACTCTTCTTTAATAAGATTCAGGTAAGAAAATGAACAAGTGGCCTTAGAGAAGAATTTGACAAGCTCATTCCAGTGGCCTGTAATCTTTTATAAAATAACTCATTTGCTCATGAAATCAAAACTTAAGCTACCACAGAAATATTAAAGGACTCATTTTTATTATTTGGGTGTGTGTGATATTTGCCAAAAGGCAACGAGCAAGAAGGACTCCTGGGCATCAGTTCCCTTGGCCTCCATAAGCATTGGGGTGCCTTTGCCCTCAGCTCCATCAGGAGCTCCTGTGGCCTTAAGTTTCTCTTGCCCCTCCCTTTAGCCTTGGCCATGCTGGCTTTTCAGCAGCACTAGGTTCTAGCCATGAGGCCAAGAATCTTCCTTTCCCCTCCTATTTCCTAATCCTTCAACCTCTCCTAGACTGAGTGGATCATAAATTACTCACTTCTGTATTCCCACATAAATTTTCAAGCTCTGCATTACCCAAGGAATTTGTAGCTAATTAGTAGCAGTACTTTTTTTTTTTTTTTACTTCTCTATTTTTAGCTAAGACAATTAATATTTAAACTCTCTTGGCTCAACTTACAGAAACAAAGTGCTTAAAGAATCAGTTGTCCTCTGCTGTGCATAGTAAATAGAGCAGCACATGGAATCAATTTATAAATGAGAAAAGACTATGCCATTACCATGGGAGTGGGAAGAAATTATCCTAAGTAATTGTTTTGGCTGCATGCAACTGATGGGAGAGTGAGGGAAGGGCTGTGTATTTTAAGGGAAAGCCAAAAGTATGGAATAGCACACTTACCTCCAAAGACACAGAGAAGTTGACCATATTGTGGGTCAAGTTGCAAAACTGATTGGGTTGATTCATTTGAAAGGAGAAAGGACTTCTTCAGCCTTAGGCTGTCTCTTTTATCCCTCCCCTATGGCCAGATAGGATCCAACTGTTGAGTGGTGACCCTGGATGAGACCCCCGCGGGCTAGATGCCATCTCTGGCAGCACAAACTCTGGCAGGTTCTTGTCTCTTCCCATAGGCCAGTCTTGGTGGTTGTGTGCGGATGATCGTCACTGGAGCAGCCCCCGCGTCCCCAGCGGTGCTGGGATTCCTCAGGGCAGCTCTGGGGTGCCAGGTACAGCCTTTCCACTGCTTTCCCTAGAGTCAATGGGACCTGTGTCAGGGCAGAGGAAGAAACCCACCGCACCCTCTACTGGAGAGAAAAAGATCCTCAGGGCAGGATTTTAGTGGGACAAAACTCCCTCCTCTGAGGATGAAATAGGTTGAGAGTCAGTGAAAGCCAAGATTATCTTGTCACGTTCTGCGACGTCTAGGTGTACCCACTTTGGGAAGAGGGGCCCATTAAACTCTGTATGGGTCATTGTTGTGCTAGAGAACCCATCCCATACCTGTGCCAGCATCTCTGCATTCTCCATTCTGCAAAATATCTCCCCACCCACAAAAGGAGCACTAGAGAGGGAGATGCAAGCCCACTGCTGTTTTGTTATTTGATTCAACAGGTTTTGTCATCTCTTAAAATACTCATTCCTTCGTTTATCTATTCGGTTAATATTTATTAAGTTCCTGCATCTGCAGGGCTGTGACTCATGTGTTTTGTGTAAAGTAGGCACAACTGTTTCATAAATGTCCATGCTTAAGTTTTTATACTTTAGAAGCCAGTGCTCCCTTCACTATCCTCCTGTTCTGTAGCAGCATGGCCTGGGCACTCCTAGGGCAGGCTATCTCACATGCTCTATTCCTGCAAACATGTGGGGGCTCTAAGGGGGGAAATATCTTACAGAGTAAAAGTAAAATGCATAGTAGGTTTTAAAGTATTTGTCTCTCATACCTATCATCCAAATGAAAAATAAAGTTAGTAGTTGAAAATAGGCCAGAAATCTTCACCCCAAATCACATAACTTTATCTCCTAAGTATCTGCAGTATAAAAATAGCACCTCTTCTAAGCCAAGGAGCCACCTGTTGTTTTCACCTAGAGTAGCCTACCTCCCCTCCCACTGACCCCAGCATGGAACAGTCAGATGTTCAGTGGGAGGTTAGCTGGCTGAAAAGGGCAATCAGTCAGCTGTAGGAACATGTAACTTACAGCTTGGTTTTGTTTTTCATTTGAAGGTTTATGAAGGTTACGGCCAAACTGAGTGTACAGCTGGGTGTACCTTCACCACACCCGGGGACTGGACCTCAGGTAGGATGGAGTGGAGATGTGGGAATGATTCATGGGGCACCACTGATCTAAAACGTCTTTATGGAAAACAAATTTATGGGTCATTTAGGAAAAAGGGGACAGAAAAAGAAGAAAAACACTGATGGTGGTTATGTCTGGGTTGTGGCACAATGGATGTTGTTCTCTTTGCTACATATTTTTGTGATTTTCAAATATGTTTTGTCTTTTCCCATTTCTTTTATGGATACCTAGAAGTCATATATATA